ACGTTGTGTTTATTTATCAATAAATATTGTTTCATAGATTAGATTTAAAGTTTAAAATTTAAAATCAACATTTAAAAAAATTAATTTATACAAATTTACTAGGAAGTGCAAATTTAAAATCATTTTAAAATGCATAAAATTTATTTTTTATTATTATTTTTTTGACCAGGTAGATGGTTAGGAAGTTAGTAGAGTTAGTTTGTTAGCAGCTGAAATTTTTCCAACTCTGACTTCCGCCTCACCCAAACCCTAAAACTTGGGGGCCAACCAATTGGACCACAGACCCGGTTGGCATGCATAAAATTTATTTTAATTTAGAAATACCCTAATAATAAATATTAAGGAGTTCCGCCCTTGGTCATGAGAAGTGTTAATCACTTTCAATTTTTTTAATTAAATTGAAGTCCCATGCCAGTCACACAAGTAACAAAAGAAAAAAAAAAAGTTTCCTGCAATTTTTGTTGGTTTAATACCTAATTTGATCCCTAAACTTTCATTTCTAAACTTAGTTCATCCTTTAATTTCAAAAAACACCCAAATCATCCTTAAATTCTATTTTTCTGTAATTCAAATGATCATTTTGTCATGGAGCTGCATATCTGGCACGTTAAGTCTCCACCAATTACTTTTTTTAATTTTCACGAGTTTTTACGTGAAAAAAACACCTCACCCAATTGATGATATGGAACCAATTTCATTCCGTGTTCAGTTTTGATGGTTATGGTGCTACTCATGATGGCTACTGCTGCTGCAAACGAATACACCAACTACATCGTTGGCGGCGATGCTGGCTGGTTCTTCGATCCCGTTACAAACGCCTCTGCTAGTAAATTACACTTATTGGGCCACAAATCAAACCATCAATCTCAGCGACTATCTCAGTAAGGCAACACTTTTTACTATTTCATATCTCCTCTTTTTGAGAGTGTTTGGTTTTGAGTCTTTTGACAGTGAATTTCGCAGATCAAATCCTCCTTTCGTCACAATGGAACAGAGGAAATTTTGCAGGAAATAATGGAAATCTAAACTTGAAATTTGATTTTATTGAAATTAATTAGAATAAGTTCTTATTATGCTATCTCGTTTAAAATCGCATATTCGAAAAATTTCTCTTTGTTTTCTAATTGGAGAAAGATAAAAGCAGGTCGACCTGCAAAAAAATAGTTGCAGTCTCCAGGGAAGACGATGGAGCTCAGGCAAGATAACTTTGCAGTGTTGGGGTTTCAGTGAGAGGAGAAGGGGCTTCTGATGGAGTTGCACGAGAGGAAACGGACAAATTAAATTTACCCTTTATTATCTAAACAGCGAAGACGATGGAGCTCAGGCAATTTTTTTTGCAGGTCAACCTGCTTTTCTCTTTCCCCTATTAAATTATAATGGATTTTTTTTTTTAGATTGTGTTGAATATTCATTATTCATATTCATATTCATTAATTGATTGATTTGTCTCATGTGGTTAAACTAAGTTTTGTATTTCTGGGTTTCTTCTTGACGAAATCGGTGAGAACCCAAATGACAAACAACCCAGAAAATGAATTACTTTTTCTTTCTTCGTTTTATTATATTTTTTATGGTAATCAAAAACATCAAAGGGAAGGAAAAAAATAAGCAGAGGCAAAGAAAAAAAAAATGGAGAGAGGCAAAACAGACACCTATATCTGGTTTCTCCTGCAAGGATCGAGTGAGGCGAGGAACCCAGATTTGGGTCTTGCATGATGTTTCAGCCAAATTTGGGCAAAAATGAAACGTGTAATGAAATTGCTTCCATATCATCAATTGGGTGAGGTGTTTCTTTCATGTAAGTCTGAAAATTAAAAGAGGTAATTAACAGAAACTTAACGTGTCAGCTATGCAGTTTCGTTGATGGAAAGATCATTTGGATTATAAAAAAATAAAGTTTAGGGATAAGTTGGATGCTTTATGAAGTTAAAAGATGAATTAAGTTTATAAAAAAAAAAATTTAAGGATTAAATTAAATATTAAATCATTTTTGTTCGGTTGGATGGTCAGAAATCTTTTCGATGTGTCACTAATTTTAAGATTAAACTTTTTAAAGTAATTTTAAAAACACACTTTATATAATAATATATTAAAAAATCCCTTCCACGTTATCACTAAATAAATATTAATGTTAAACTAACAGCAAAATAAGTAAATTGGTCGCACCTGACCTTCGAATCTAATGATAACTGTCAGGATAAAAGGTGCATCCCCTCCTTTGAACCCGCCTCATCATCAATTGCTCCAAAAAAAAAAAAGAAAAAAGAAAATTGGACTTCCGCAAAAGCCGAAAAACTGGTGTTGAAAAGAAGGGCCGGGAAAACATAGTCCGTGTCGGGTTTTCTGGGAGATGGAAAAAAAAAGTCCAGGTCAGCAAATAAAAAATAAAAAAAACTAACGGGGTCGTACTGGTAATCACGAGATTCAGACGGAGAATGTAAAGGACATAACGGGCTTGGACGGATTGATGACATCAGTTGATGTCATCTGCGAAGAAGGGCTAA